TAGCATGCCTACATGGGCTCAGTTTCCTCATATGTAAAATGGGGACAATGACAGTCCCTACTTTAGTGGGGTGGTAATAATTACAGGGGTATTTGATTTGTCTTATAACATTCTCTATCCCTTTAACCCACCCCAACAGAAGCTCTTAGGATGACCACCTCTGTTCCTGATCGTGTCCCCTCCCAAGGGTGATATCCGGACAGCCTGCACCCTCCGGGCCCAGTTCCTGCAGAACCTCCTGATTCCCAGTCAGGGAAGCACACAACCTGTGAATGTTCCCAGGAACCAGGAACCCTGCAAAAAATTTGGATTTCTGGCAGAATTCACTTCTTTATTGCTTATTCACATGAGGAATTCTGGGCTATGAGGCCCAGGCCCTGCCATAACTGGGCTCCCAAGCGGGGCCCCTTTAGACAGGGACAGCCAGGTGTCAGGGCCATTGAGTTTGGGGAAGCCTGAGTGGTTCAGTGCAGCCAAAGAAGGTCCCCCTTACACGGCTAAGGAAGCAAGTAGGGAAGGGGTTCTCTGGTGAGATGGTTTAGCCAAGGTTCGAGAAGATGAAGCCTATTTATACGTCCATTTTGAAGGTGAAAGCGCAGAATCCTGTATTGACCAATCACGTGAGTGCATAAGGCCATTATACCAATCAGCTTCTAGGCTTGAGCGTCATTACACCTCGAATCAGCCAATGGAAGTAGAAATATGGGATAGGAGGCGGGTCTTCTTGGTCTCCAGGCAATCCTTGGTGACTCCTGTGAACCTCTGTGTAGTCCTAGCAATACCAGAGCCACCTGCCCTACTGGTCATGTTTAAGGTGAGAAGAGAGGAGGGGTAGAGGGGGAATGATGGGGCAGGAGTTTGTTACAAGTGGATAGAAAACTATTTGGTACCCACTTGAATCAAAGTGTGAAATATGATATATCAAGAACTATGTAATGTTTTGAACAGCCAACAATAAAAAATTTTTAAAAAAAGAAAACTATTTGGAGATTTAGGAGAACAGGGAGGCTGTTCAAAGTGGATGGAGAAGAAGTTGAAAAGATTAGGAAGCTGGTGGAGGTAGGAAGAAGGTGTCAGAAGGACACAGGGTACTAATTTGTAAGGGGACAAAGAAGAAACTATGGAGAAAAAGGAAAAAGGAAGCTGGGCTCAGTGGCTCACACTTGTAATCCCAGCGACTTAGGAGGCTGAGGCAGGAGGATGGCCAGGTCAAAACTAACCTCAGCAACTTAGTGAGACCCTATATCAAAATGAAAAATATAAAGAGCTGCAGATGTGACTCCACAGTGAATTGCCCCTGGGTTCAATCCCCAGTTCAAAAAAAAAAAAATGGCAGGGGACGGGGGAGGGTGGTAGAGTAGTCAAAAAAAAAAAAAAACTTAGAGGAGCCACCTGAGAGTTTGGATGGGGCAACTGAGTAGTTTATGAGTGAACAGTAAAGGGTTAGAGCAGGACCAATGAATGATCCATAAGGAAAAGTGGGGCAGATTATAATTGAATTTGTGAGAGCATTATTTTATAGTGTGAGATGTTTAGAAGAAAATTTATAATGAAGATTTGTCAGATTAAAAGTGATAATATGAGGATATTATTCATGTGTGTTTTAAAAGGGAAAAGAGGAAGCTGCTTTGGGGTCAATGGCAGCATTATAGGAACAGAATGCTATAAAGAGCTGGGCATGGTGGTGCTAGCCTGTAATCCCATTGGCTCAGGAGGCTGAGGCAGAAAGATCTCACTTTCAAAGCCAGCCTCAGCAAAAATGAGGTGCTAAGCATCTCAATGAGACCCTGTCTCTAAATGAAATTCAAAAAATAGGGCAGAGGATGTGGCTCAGTGGTTGAGTGCCCCTGAGTTCAATCCCTGGTCCCCCCCCCAAAATGGTAAAAGGTATCAATTGATGTTTGGGGGAGAAAGACTCATCAGAAACAGGGATTTGGGTTGGGGGACAGTAGAAGGTGCCAAATAGAAACAATGGATAGAATCTTAAAAGTGATTGTGGAGAACTTGGAGGAAGTGTTAGGACCCAGGAAAATAGGTTACAGAGAGAGAGACTAATTATAGGACCAGAAGGTGGGAAGTAGGGCATGTATAGTTGTTAAACAAGCATAGAGAGAAGTTAGAGAGGACATAGTGGGCATTTCAGGGAGTCAATGAGAAGTTTAAAGGGAGTCAATGAAGATTTTATAGGAACCAAGAAGAAATGCATTAGAGTAAAAAGTGAGGGAATGGGAAGGAATGGCAGAGTCCAGAAGCCATACTCACCCAATCCACTCTCTGCCCACCAGGTGGTTGAATAAATGGCTCATCAAAGCAGTGATGAGAGCTCAGAAAATGAAGCAGCCAACGACCACTTTTGCTTAGCACTCATAGCCCTCCTCTGCTGCTGCCCACTAGGCCTTCCATCAATAATCTGTTCTTACTGGGTGGGAATCTGCATGATGCCAATCCTCATCCTCCCTCTCCCTCTTGGCCCTGACCCTCTCTCAGCTTCTTCCCTGTTCTCCCTCCTGTGCCAGGGAACCTGAGCTATGGTTTAGACCCCACTCTGGGTCCTTACAGTCCCATAGCTCACCCACTTCAATACTCATCATTTCCTGTTCCCTCTCCTCTGAAACTCAGACGATACGCTACAATCAAGCCAGAGAATATGACAAGGCATCCAAGACCTCTATTATAACCCTCTGCTTGGCCATCATAGGCATTTTTTTGTCCGTATTACCATTCATCGTTTTTCTCTTCATATCATTGCTGATAAGGTGACCTCATTCTTGCCTCATGAACAAACCACCAAATACATGCAACAATGTAACTAAACACTGTGTTTTAGTCAGCTTTTTTGTCACTGTGAGCTAAAGATCCAATAAGAACCCACAGAAGAGGGGTTCCTGGTTTCACAGGTCTCAGTCTGAAAATGGCCAAATCTATTGCTCTGGGCCCATGGTGACAGAAAAGAGTGTGGCAAGAGGAAGCAGAGAGAGGGCTCTGTTCACCAGGGACCCCAGAGACCTATCTCCTGGAGACACACCCTTCCTGCCTGCAGTTACCAGCCAGTTAATCAGCGCACTGTTGGCTAAGGCTCTCATAACTCGAGCATTTCACCTCGGCGTCTTTCACATGAGTTTCGGGGGACACGTCACATCTATCTATACCATAACAACCTGGCAGCAAATCCCTATTTATGATGAATGGGCGCCAGTGCCTCCCTCAGTGGGGCCCACGCGGGAGCACTGGGCGCTGCGGGACCAGCGGGACCGCTCTCCAGCCGGCGGCTCAGGGCTTTCCGGCCCCGGGGGCCTAGCTGCCGGCGCACTCGTGACGTCAGAGGAGGGCGCCACGCTTGAAAGAGTGGGCGGGAGGCGGCGGCCGCGGCTGGGCGCTGTCATGGAGCTAGTTCCGCAAGCGCGGGAACTCCGTTGCTGGGCGGCCGAAGAGATGCGGGTGCCCGCGGCGTCCCGGGCCCCGGAGTCCACCCTGCGCAGGTGAGTCGGGCGGGCCGTTGGGTCTTCCGGTTCTTCAGAGAGTCGCCACCGGGGAAGACCCAACAGCTGAGTCCGCCAGCTCCTTCCTATCGTGGCAGTGTTAAGTTCTAGTAGAGCATCTTGTATATGAGGGACAGGCCCTGATCGTGATCCCACATTCCCACCCCACCCCTTAGCAATAACCACCACAATGGACTGAATCTGTAGGAGTGAGGACCCTGTCTAGTCATGAGAGCTCTTCAGGGCCGACCAAATTTATCCTCCTCTGGAAGTTACTGGAATGAGGATGCCCCCATACTTAGTGATAAATCACCCTTTCTGTGACTAAGAAGGGCCTTCCTTCCCCCAGAAGTGAGAACTCCTTAGCAAAGACTTTCCCTTTCACCATCACCCTAGCTATAAGCATCCTTCACCTGGGTTGTGCCCCAGACATAACTTACACCCTGTCCCCACAGGCTGTGTCTGGGCCAGGGGGCTGACATCTGGGCCTACATCTTGCAGCATGTGCATAGTCAGAGGTGAGCCAGTGGGATCAGGGGAGGGTGCCAGGAAGAGGGCACAGGCAAGTCTCACAGTAACTCCTCTTCCTCCACTTCTCCACTATAGCACTGTCAAGAAGATCCGGGGAAACTTACTGTGGTAAGTGATTCTCAATGCTGTCCCATCCTATCTTCTCCAATCCCATCTGGCCTTGTCCCCACCCACAGCCTCACACTTCCTGTCCTTCCCTCTGTAAGCCCCACACATATCCTAATTCTGGCATGGTTTCTTCAGGTATGGCCACCAGGACAGTCCAGAGGTGAGAAGCCTATGCTGTAAGATTCCCTTTCACCCAAGAAAGAACTTGTACATCTTCTGCTCTAGGCCCTGCTTGGTGCTGGATATGTTGGGGTCACTGGGTCACAAAACAGCCCTAATATCTGCATTCCTAGGCTTACAGTCCAGGGGAAGCCAGAAATGAACTGGTGCAAAGGCACAGTTGAAGGTTTTCCGCATCAAACTGATGAGGGGAGAAGTAGCATGGGCCAGATTTGGAAGAGATGCAAAGGCCAGTTTGTGATCCAGTTAGTGCAAGGAACCCAGATGACACTCAGGGGGATACTTTCAGAAGACCTCAGGACTCCTCAGTGTGGGACTCAGGGAGGAGATCACCACTGAGACAGAAATGTAGCACAAACAAAAAGTAAAATAAAATAAAACCTGCAGGGAGGATAAGTGAAACAATCCATGAGGAAAAGAGGAGCCAGAGGGTACACCAGTGCTTCATATCAGACAAGGAATCTGCATAGAAAAACCCCTTAACCACTCCCCTGGTAGATAAGAATGTGGTGCCTCCCAAAAGGTAGTGAGGCCAGGCTAAGCCACACTCAGACGAGCATCTGACTCTATACCTGATCTCACCAGGTCAGCCGGAAGTTGGAGCTGGAAGCTGCAGTGGCACGCCTGCGCACAGAGATCCAAGAGTTAGACCAGAACCTGGAGCTGATGGAGCGAGAGGCTGAGGCTCAGGGTGACCCATGGAGCCAGGAAGGTGGGCATTGTAATGCTGGGTGGGAAAAGTGCTGACCCCTGTGTCTCCCACAGACCTGGCTGTGGAGCAGATGCTGCAGAGCACACGGGACACCCAGTATCGAGCTCTCCTCCTCCGGGCCCAAGCTGGAAACCTGCGAAGACAGCAGCACGGACTGCGAGTCCCCACACAGCAGCTGCAGAATCAGCTCAGGCGCCTACAGGACATAGAGAGGTGGGCCTCATCTGCCCAAGAGACCAGCTTTCACCAGGTGGTCACACATTTACCTCTGAGATCCCAATGTTCTTACCTGATCCTTACTGGGTTCCAGAATTCTGCACAACCAACCCTAGGATCTAAGGCCCATAAGCCCAGTTAGTTTTGCACCATCTCTTGGGTAACAACAATAGACATAGGACAGGCCCCTGTTTATGCTCCTGGACCTTATGCTCTGATGCAGAGAAGGCTGACTGCAAACTAGGAAACAGATTCTGTCATTTTGGGGAGAAATAAGTTCAATGAAGAAAAGACTGTGTGACCGAGGGAAAGGTGTTTGCTATCTAAGCTAGGGTGCTCAGCACAGGCCTCTCTGAGGAGGTAACCTGGGTTGGGGCACAAATATTCATGGAGAGGGAACAGCCAGGCTCCAATCTTGGCCTTCAGGAAGAGCTGCCAAGAGGCAAATACAGCTCAGTATTTGAAGACAGGAGGGACAAGATGAAGAGGTGAGATAGGAGAAGCAGTCAGAGGGCCCTGGAGGCATGGGAGTTTTACTGGTAGATGGAGTTCATGCCCCACCTTGGCCATTTATAACTGTGTGAGCTTGGGCAAGGGACTTAACTTTTTTGTACCTCAATTTCTAAGATTTGTTGGAATATGATAATATTTATATCACCCTTTTATGGAAGATATGATAGTTATATGTGGTAAGCTATGTATAGTGCTAGAAAGACTGCCTGTTATTCACGTTGTCGTTCTGAACATGTCAGGGAAAGGTCCCACTGTCGTGGAGGGTTTTGAGCAGTGACTTCATCTTCCCCAGGTTGTATGAAACATGATTTCTGACCACTGGGTAGAGAACAGACTACAGGGGTGAGAAGCAGAAAGACCAGTGAAGGGGGCTCATGCAGTAGTCCTGCCAGGACATAACCGTGGCTTAATCTTGGAGGTGGCCCCTAAGACCCAGGCTCAGCAAAACCTGTGACTAGCCAGGCTGGCAGTAGGAAGGGTGGGGCACAGACACCTGTTCTCCCAGGTACAACCTGCCCCAACTGCACTCTTCCTCCAGGAAGGCCACAGTGGATGTGACCTTTGGACCCCTGACATCAGCATCTGTGGCCCTGGAGCCTCTTGTCTTGGTAAGACCCTAGGCCATAGAAGAAGGTGTGAGAAGACTGGGGTCAGTCTGGCATCTGGGTCCCTATCATGTTCTGTCCTCTCCTCCAAAGCGTGATGTCCGAACAGCCTGCGTCCTCCGGGCCCAGTTCCTGCAGAATCTTCTCCAAGCCAGGGGTGGCAGCATCCTGTAAGTGTTCCCAGGACCCAGGAACTCTCCAAAGAACTTTTACTTTAAAGGCAGAAAGTCACTTGTGTATTAACTCTTTGGTTGCTGGGATTCTGTGCTGTATCAAGTCCAGGCCCTACCATGACACGGTTCCCAAGCCATGACCCCTTATAGAAAGCAATGGTCACACTTGCAGCTCAGTATTAGAGTGCTTGCTTAGTATGTGTGAGGTACTAGGTTTGATCCACATAAAAATAAAGAAAAGTATTGTGTCCATCTACAACTTTAAAAATTTTTAGAAAAAGAAGCAGAAAGTGATAGTCACAGCTATGGGGTTGGGGAAGCCTGGGAGGCTCAAAGTAACCAGAAGAGACCCTTTCCCAGCTAAGGAAGCAGGGAGGTGAGGGGTTCTCTGACACGGAGGCTTAGCTGGGGTCACAAAAGCATCCCAGGTTTAGCACGCATGTAAAAGCCCCAAGGGTTGTAAACTGTAGAATTAAGGATCTCCAGTCTAGCATGCCTACATGGGCTCAGTTTCCTCATATGTAAAATGGGGACA